TCAATTATGGATAACCGTCACAATCCAGCAAGCGGTTATCTACTGAATTAGGTCGTCACTGTCCGCAAGCAACCTAAGTTCAGTGACACTGAGTTGAAATTTCAATTATGGATAACCGTCACAATCCAGCAAGCGGTTATCTTGAAGCAGCTGTGGAAATTGCTTAGGAGTAAGTTCCATGTTGTACCGTTGTCCTGACCTTTCGTTGTTAATCGGCTGATTCGTCCTGATCTTGTAGAAGCTAGGCGACTCCTTCCACGTTGTTTTCTCGGCTGATTCGCGCTGCCTCTGCCCCACGTTGGTCTTCGGCTGATTCGACTTGCCTCTGCCCCACGTTTGGCGCCAGTGTAATAAGATGGTCTGCGCGCGAACCCCGGGTTGGGAACCACGCGCAGATACAAAAAATGTTCAGATATCGGGTAACCGTCATTTTTGTACGTAGAACAACTGGTTGCAGTAAATGTTTGTTACACTAATGATAAATAAATTTTTCCCTATTCGTAAAACTCATCCTTTATTCAAAATTATTAATAATTCTTTAATTGACCTACCTTCCCCCTCAAATATTTCCTCATGATGAAATTTTGGATCTTTATTAGCTTTACGTTTAATTATTCAAATCCTAACAGGATTATTCCTAACTATATATTACACAGCAAATATTGAATTAGCTTTTTATAGAGTTAATTATATTTGTCGAAATGTAAACTATGGTTGATTAATTCGTACTTTACATGCTAATGGAGCTTCTTTCTTTTTTATTTGTATTTATCTTCATATTGGACGAGGAATTTATTATGAATCTTTTAATTTAAAATATACCTGAATAGTAGGAATTATTATTCTTTTTATTCTAATAGCAACAGCTTTTATAGGATATGTATTACTTTGAGGACAAATGTCCTTTTGAGGAGCTACAGTAATTACTAATTTACTTTCAGCTATCCCATATTTAGGATCTATATTAGTTAACTGAATTTGAGGAGGATTTGCAATTGACAATGCAACTCTAACACGATTTTATTCATTCCATTTTCTTTTTCCATTTATTATTTTAATATTAACTTTAATTCATCTATTATTCTTACATCAAACAGGATCTAATAATCCATTAGGAATAAATAGTAACCTAGATAAAATTCCTTTTCATCCATTTTTCACATTTAAGGACTTAATTGGATTTATTTTATTATTATCATTGTTAAGAATATTAACATTAACTAATCCTTACTTATTAGGAGATCCTGATAACTTCACTCCCGCTAATCCTTTAGTAACTCCCATTCATATTCAACCTGAATGATACTTTTTATTTGCTTATGCTATTCTTCGCTCTATTCCTAATAAATTAGGAGGTGTTATTGCCTTAATTATATCTATCTTAATTTTAATTATTTTACCTTTAACTTTTAATAAAAAAATTCAAGGAATTCAATTTTATCCCCTTAATCAAATATTATTCTGAATTATAATTTCTACAATTATTCTTTTAACTTGAGCAGGAGCTCGACCAGTTGAAGAACCTTATATTATTACAAGACAAATTTTAACTTTATTATGTTTTTCTTATTTTATTATTAACCCGATTATTAGAAAATATTGAGATAATTTAATTTTTAATTAACTAATTAATGAGCTTGTAAAAGCATTTGTTTTGAAAACTTAAGAAAGAATTTAATATTCTATTAATTTATACTAAATTTATTAACTAATTAAAAAAAAAATTTAAGCCTAAAAAAAATAATAAAAAATTTAAAGAAACTGGTAAATAACTTTTTCAAGATAAATATATCAATTTATCATATCGATAACGAGGTATAGTACCTCGAACTCAAACAAATACAAAAGAAATAAATGATAATTCAAAATAAAAAATTAATCTTAATCTATAACCCCCTATATATAATAAAATAAATAATAAACTTATAAAAAGAATTCTAGCATATTCAGATAA